CTATGAAATTAACTGTTCATTTTTTGTTGTTATTCCATATTTATATCAATTTACGACTTACACATTAATATTTCCGAACCACAAGTGTATACGTGCTCATCATACTGTATCCGCCCAGTAGCATTCTTTTTGGTTTACAAATATTAAGAGCCCATATTCACAACCTATGTAGCTTTGTAATTTTCAGATAGCTCAAAGGTTGAATCATCACTTAAAAGATCGTCACTCGACAATTAACTTCGCATAACGAATAATGTAAATCTATCAGATGCATACCTATAATAAATAGTATATAGTTTGGTTAAATAAATGATACAGACCTAAGTAGTGGGGCATTTATTCACTATGAGCAACTACGTAATTATTTACTTCAGGCGAAAGGTTCTGCCCAATTGAAGCGGTTGCCAGGGTCTTTGGGATGGCAGATGAGAAAAGGCGATGCGAATCAGAGTTTCCCTCGGTGATTGGTGGGCCATTAGTGGATGAGGGTAGGGCAGAGCCAATGATCCACCAGCGTCCCTTTGTCTCAATATCTAGAATGTCCGATAATCTGATTGCCAGACAAGAAGTTGTATAGACGATGCCTGCGAACAGTAAAGAAATAGGGAGACAGGAAAAATGAATTTCAAGAATTTTGAAAGAGATAATAAACAACAAAAATACTGAAGCAAATATAAGGGATAGCAAAGCAATATAATTTGAGGATATATAATTGTCGAGATACCTAGATTTTAACTGGCATGAAAGTCGAGACAAATGAGAAATTTTGCGAATAAGAAAAGAACCAAAGCTCGAAAAAAATTAATAACGAAGCAGTTACCACTTTTGTTATTGATGCCGTTATCACGTATCACAAAAAATGAATTAAAAAAGCGGATCCTACTGGCTTGTCTGTAATCACTATCTTGTATGTCTAGTAATCTTCCTTCGTTCACAATCGAATAAGACGTTGATAGTATTATCAACAAACGTTGAGGCCAAATAAAATTAATGTAGAGGAAGGCAAACCCGTCCTATCCTGATAGTAAACCTATGCAACTCTTTATCACACAAAATGAAAGATATCCCACAAACGATATACTAGGAAATTCATCTAGGCTTAATTACACTTCCTATATTCACTCCTACTTAAATCAAATGAGAGGTATGCATGACCAACAATTAAGAGAAATTCAGGAAATATCAATTCTTAATTCGTTGATTTTCGTGTTGGGATGGACAGAATGAAACAAAATATTTTTCCAAAAAATTGTGATGCCCAAAAAGATAAGGAAGGACTCTACAGTCAAATATGCTGAATGAAAACCGGTATGTACCTTTGGTCCACATCTTCATCTGTTTCCGCAACTGTTCTGACTTTGCATGACAGCCACTCCTGGCTTGAGTCTCAGTCAGCCGGTCACGAAGACCTTCAAGTTCTAAGCTAAAAAAGATAAATGAGTTAAAACAAATAAGATAAGTGCTATATTAGCTAAACTACCATCTTTCAATTTCTGATGTATCCAAGCTTTGAAGATGTGATTTGACGAGATCCAATATATTTTGACAGCGTCTTAGATTATCTCTTCTAAGAGAGTATCCAACGGCTGAAATGAGAATGAATAGTTAGTTAACGGGTAAAAATGGATGAAATATAGGTAACTGAGACCAATTATAGGCGTCAAATTAGTAGCGATATTTTTCTTTAGTAATAACTTGTTTAGTAGTCATCAAGGGCCTTGATGATTTCGATATTTACCACCCTCCCCTTCCAAATATATGAGCTAAGATATTTTTATTAGCTTTGAAATTCAGATTTGGTTGATAAATCAATATTTACAGATTTTGTTGACAAGATGCTTGTCTCATCTCTTATGTCTGTAGTTCGAATACCTTTTGGGATGTAGGTGAGATTTATCCGTAGTAGATCACAGAGAAAAGTGTCATGGAGTAGTGAAATTAAGAGGAAAAAAAAAGCTTTATCTACAAACTGGTTTTGCTATAAATCCAAAAAAATTTCATCAACAATATCTTAGAAATTATGTCTCTTTTTAAAAAATATAACAAGGGATTAATTAGAAGTTGTTTGACCTTGTTTTCGCAGCATGGTCATATTGGTAGGAAGACTTATTGGAACGCACCCAGTCCGGGGTCCATTGTCTGCATGATCATTT